TGTAATTTTAGGAACTTTGTCATCGGGATATGACATAAATTTTATAGAATTCGAAAAGTTTTATGTTGATACTAAAAAATTATACCTTGATCTGTATTCGTGGTATTCCATGCCCGTTACTGTGCTTAAAATTCTTGTACACAGCGCGGAAGTTATAATCTTTTCTTCTTCCCATCGGACAACTCTCCGAAGAAGCCCAGGAAGCAAGTAATAAAGACTGTCGTAGATTCGTAGATATTTGAATTTTTCTTAGCAGACTAGATTGGTATACAAACGTACTGACTGATTTAAAAAATAGAAACTTTTCGATTGTGTTTTATTTTCATTAAAATAAAGCTATTTATTTTTATCCGATTTCATGTGTTTTCGATGCTTGATTTTTTTTGTCGTTATGTTTTTATGTCTTTAGTTACTTGACTGATGATGAAATGCAGAGGGCTGTAGGAATGCTACAAGCGGGAAGCAATCAGTCCCAGGTATTTCAGTATTTTGATGTCAATAGGAGCGTGATTTGTCATCTTTGGGAGCGTTTTGTAATACCCCGTTTATTAACAAAGACCTGTGTATTAACCTGCTGAGCAGTACCCAGGGCGTGGAAGGATTACAACAGCTCGACAGGATCGATATTGATCGTCAGCCATGTACAATTCTCAAGCCTTGTTGTTGTTAGCCACTAAACCGTGAGAAAAAGGCTGCATGAAAATGGCCTACGAGCACGACACCCATACGCCATGGGATGAGATGCATGATAATGCGCGTTCGCAGCTCGGAGGAACAAATAGTATTTTAAAACATCCGGGTATTGCCAGTGGCGGATTAACCACGTAGCAAAAGTAGCAAATGCTACGGATCCCGCGCATTTAGGGGCTCCGCGCAAGAACGCTTTCTGACCCTAAAAAGTATCTATTAATCATTATGCTTCATCAATCGTCATCAACAGCCTATAACAGTCCACTGCTGGACATAGGCCTCTCCTTAGAAAGGAGGTTTTGTCCTACTATACCACGATGGCCAGACGCGTTGATATAGGGTTTTCACGGAGAAAATGTTTAAGGAGTCAGGTAAATATTTTTTAAATTTAGATGTAATTAATATTTATTATGATTCTATATACGAAAAAATATATCCTTGTTGACGTTTACGTATTATTGTTTTAAACTCGAGAAACCATTGCTAAGGTATACGAATTTCTGAAAATAGATGCGAGAGATATATTGGAACTAGTAAGTGATCCAGTTTGCAGTGCAAGTCCAATTTTAATATCGAAATTAAGTGAACATTTAAATAGCGTACGGAAAAGAACAGCAATGGCAGTGGGGGTATCAGAGAGAACAATTACTAATATATGGGCTGAAGGAAAAGAATCTGACTCTAAATTTAAATCTCCGCATAAAGACCGTAAAAAACGTTTAAAAAAGTTAGAATTAGACAACTTTAACGTTGACGTTATACGTTCAAAATTACCATTTAGAACATCGCGAGTTACCTACCTTGCTAAAGTTGAAAATAATATTTCAAGATAAACTTAACTATGATGGAAGTATTTCGACTCTGCGTACAGCTTTGGCAAAGTTGGGATACAAATGGCGAAAAACTGTGGATAACAGACGTGTTATTATAGAGCGGCATGACATCCAAAAACTACGATTTTCCTACCTAAAAAATTTACTCAGATACCGTCAAGAAAATCGGTGTATCGTATATACAGATGATAGCTACATCTTAACTAATCACGTGCAAAACAAAGGATGGGGTAATAAAGATGGACCACCTTTAAAGAGAAACCTGTCGAAAGGACAAAGAATTATCATTGTGCATGCTGGTTCAGAACAAGGTTTCGTACCTAACGCACTATTGACATACAAAGCAAATAGTGTTTCTGACATGTACGCCGAAAACTATGAAAAGTGGCTAAAAGAACGTCTAGTACCGAATCTTCCACCTAACTCTGTGGTTGTGCTTGATAATGCCTCATACCATAACGTTCAAAATGACAGAGCCCCAAATTCTAATTCCAAAAAAATAGAAATGCAGAGATGGCTGACAGAAAAAAATATAGCTTTTAATCAAGATATGAAAAAAATTGAACTGTATGATTTGATTAAAAAAAATAAAGAAAAATATATCTGTTACAAGATTGACGACATACTTCAGCCATATGGCATAAAAATTCTTCGACTGCCACCATATCATCCTGAACTAAACCCCATAGAAAATGTGTGGGGAACTTTAAAGAATTATATTGCTTCGCATAATGTCGACCAAAATGTGACGGAAATAATGAAACTCATAAATGAACGTTTAAGTCAAATTGATGAAGGGATGTGGGGTAATACTTGTCGACATGTACAAAAGAAAGAAGAAGAATACTATAGACATTTTGACATGGAGTCAGAATTCATAATTAACCTTGGTGAGAGCAGCGAATCCGAAAATTCATCATTTGATTTTTCAAGTAGCGATTCAGAATAATGTTCAATAAATAAACATTACATTACGAAATAACTCTTTTTTTTTTTAAAACCCGTATATACTTAACCCGTAAATAACTATATTTGTATTTGTACGACTGTACCTCTTGTCACGCACACAAAGTCACTGTATATGTACAAGGTTTACCCACACATAGGGCCGCGCGCACATCTGAGTTGAACTATCTATTTGTAATACGTGCAAAACAGTCTACACACACTAACATTAGTATTATTACGTATCTCTGGCAGACATATCAGCGCGCGAGTTGAGCGGAAAGTACTAGAAACCGTTCAGCGTAATCCGCGTCTCGGCGCGAGAACCACTGCGAAGCTTCTGCAGCGTCACGGGATGTCTATATCACACTGGACTGTACACAAAATCCTTCGCAGGGATCGCCATACAGCCATACGGGGATGAAAGCCGTCGTGTTTCTTATTGCCGATGGTTGGCGAATCAACAGCGGCATAATCCTACCTTAGTGTCACACGTGATTTGGACCGATGAGTCCACATTTACGAGGAACGGCATGTGGAACCGCCGGAACTCTCATATTTGGTCTCGCACCAATCCACGTGAGTACCAACAGACGGGACATCAAATGTTTGGGCGGAAATTAAATCAAGAATTGTTTGTTTGTAACAGTTTTGTTTTATTTAATACCATAAACTTGATAACCTAAAACAACCATGGGGCCCCTTGATAGAATTTGTTACACTGGGTATTGTCATGGCCTGCACAATCGCCAGACCTCAATCTCATGGAGTACGCATGGGACATGCTCCAGAGACGTGTTCTAGAGAACCTGGATTGAGTGAACCTGGATGTATTCGTGCTATTTGTAAATTAAAACCGACAGATACTTGTAAACCACATTTCAAGAATTTAAAAATTTTAACTGTACCATCGCTTTACATTTATGAGGTCGTTATATTTGTAAGATTGAACTAAAATTATTTGACTCTGTGGAAAGTCGACGTCGCTTAAATAAGTTGCACTTGTTGCCCACAAAAACTTCCTTCGCCCACAAAAGTATATATGCAATGGCACCGAAATTGTATAATAGATTGCCAAACCAAATTGTATTGAGCACAAATATTAATGAATTTAAATGTAAACTCTTTGAATTTTTTAACAATAAAGCATATTATTCCATAAACGAATATTTAAATGACCAATGTTAATACTATTGACATTAATTGAATATTTTTTACTATAAATTTTAATTATCTTTTATTATTTTTACTTAATTTGACCTGAACTGATGATGACTTTAAATTATATATACTTATATGGATTGATGACTTTGTTTATGTAAAATGATGATGCTTTATTTAAACAATACTCTTAGAATATTTAAGGAATGTACCTAATTTCAATGACGTATTATACCTACTATTGCTTTGTTTATATATCATTGCCTAATATTTTGTATGCCTTTCGGCGGGACATAGCTTGTACATAATAAAATTGACATCTTAACCACCTATGTATCACAAAATTGAATAAATAAATGAAATGAAATGAAATGAAATGAGTGTAAATTTCATTGGGAGTGATTGCCGCAGGATCAGATAAACAATCTTATAAATTTAATGAAAACTCGTTATCGCAAGTTTTAAACATTTTGTATTGAATTTCCAAATAATTAAAATAAATGTCGTTATTTAATTTTGTTAAACATAAAAAGTTTCATTTCGTTTTAACTTTATTTTATACTACGTATAAAACTACTACGTATAACGTACACATATTGTTAATTATTGTGATTAAGTGAACAATGGAATGAAGGATTTTATTGCTTTAGTCATTAATGCAACTAAGAACTCTTAGTTATTATTTATAAAAGAAATATAAATATTTTACAATATAGTAAAAATCGTTCGAAAGGGCAAAACCGTACATTTTGCTTAGACTTTTTTGATGTGTTTGTAATATGATACATGTTTGTTTATTTACACAATGTAATGTTAATTTAAATAAGACAGTGTAAAAGCACTAGTTTCTAAAATCAAAATGCTGTAAATACGAAATCTTCTTTGAAAATCTGTGAAAAACGAAAAAGTTTATAGGGTGTTTTGTCTTAACAATTCTTGGAAAGTTCCAGGTTTGGGGCTAAATATTTTTGGAAGTTGGTAACACTGCATTAACATGACACTTCATGACAGTAACACAGTATGACACTTGTCATAAGCAGAAATCAGTGAAATTATATACATTTAATTTTGTCTACAAAATAATTGTATTATTTTTGTTGTTCAACTTGTAAGATATGTTATTTTTTCACGAGAGTAGTAATTTTTTGTTTAGTTGTAGTTAGTACCAAATTTTTAAAAACGATCATTATTTTACCCGACAGCGTAATGCTGTATAAAATTATTAATACTTAATCATTTATTTCGAATTGTTTTAGTTGACTATTGCCATTGACGACGTAAGTGATGGCTTTACCATTACCTATTGCCCCGTGCTCGAAAAGGGATGGTCTTGGTAGTTTAAGTTGTGAGCATTTTGATTACGCCAGTAGTATGGCAACAACTTTGTTGGCACCAGTAAAAACTGAGCGACAAATCTTCGAGCATTCAATGTCAGAAGATGATCCTAACGCTAATACACAAGTACCAAGTGTTGTGGGTACAGAACTTCGCTGGGGTCCGCGACATAAGGGAGCTCAAGAGCTTGCTGAACTCTATAGTCCAGGTAAGAATTTTATCATTTACTAATTAGATTTTAATTAATTTGTTATTTTATCTTTCTTTTATTGTCTATAATATTTACTTTGTTTATGTGTTTATATGAGGCTCTTATTTGAACAAAGAATTGAATCAAAATTTCATGTGGTTTTTTCTCATTGCAATGATATTGATGATACTCATATAAACTACTTGTTTACTATTTTCTTAGATATTAATTAGAAGGCATATTATAGAGGAATGAGAATGTAATTTTTGTTTGACAGGCAAAAGACTACAAGAATGGGTGTGTGTGGTGGTTTGTTGTACATTGTGTGTCAGTGCAGGCCTTCTTATGGCTAGACACATACAAGCAGATGCTTCACTATTATTAGCAGCAATGGCTGGTGTTCTAACAGCAGATTTTGCATCTGGAGTAGTTCATTGGGCTGCTGACACTTGGGGAGCAGTTGATCTTCCTCTTATAGGCAAAGTAATACTGTATTTCATCAACTGTATCTATCTATTGCTGTCTGTGTGTTTTATATTGTAACAACATTTTCATCTGCTTTCCTTATTCATTCATTGCCAACATTTATTATCTCGCCTTAAATTTTTGGAATTGATACCTGCTCAGATAAGACAATAACATTGCTCACGTAGACAACCTTATCTAAAATTTTATCTGTGGTAAATCAGAATCAACAACGATTTTTTGTTTGATTAAGTGTACTAAAACTTATTCATAAACCTTTTTGTATTGGATAGAGGTTAGTAGAGGTGTTGGTTTGAGGAAGGCAATGTCATACTACTACCATTAAGAGTGAATCAATAACCACAAATAAAGGGTGAACAGTAGGGTGTCCCGTCAATGTATGGGATTTTTTTTTTTAAAGCGACGGCTACGCAAGAGGTATCAAAAGTTGCGTTTTTGTGAATAGATTACAAATATAACAAAATTTAATTAAATATTTGTCATCTTTAGGCCTCTACCGATCCTAGAAGTTTTTCAAATTTGCCATTTTTAGAGGTTTCGAACATAAACTATAAATGATACAAAAATAATGTTTTAAAGGTTTTAATCAAATTTATAGGTACTACAAAGACATAAGGTAATGTTCAGTAAAGTTTAAATACTTATAATTAATGCTTATTTCAAATACGGAATTGGTTCTTGTGGCCAGAATTAGGCATTTCCGCGCGAGATTTTAATCTGTTTCTGATTAAACCAACCCGAGCTGTAGCGTCCGTGACACTTAGAGAAGCCTCCGTCACTAGCTTTACACATCTTTCCACTGATTGTGTATGACAGGGGAAATCAATAACATCGAAGCTTTGTTCTTTAGCCTTAATTCTCAGTTCGTCGTCGGACATCTGTCTCAAAATCGGTGGAGCGGATATCTCACACTCTTGTCAAAATATCAAATCGATGTAATATCGCGCATCGAAGTTAAGTTTTGGTACTTTAAATACCCTGCGAGTATTGCTTATTTCTGCTTCTCTTGCCTTTAATATTTTGCGAGCTGCAAACTCTCAAATATGCTCTCTGTCGTCGAATAGCATGGTAACAAGTAAGTTTTCAGGGTGAGCAAAAAAAGCGTTTCTCTCGATCACTGAATTCACAATAGATCTTTGCTTATCAGGCAAAAATCGGGCGTATGTAACCATTTGAAAAATATGATTGGCTCCATCTTTGAATGATGAGTTTTTCTTAATGAGGAACCAAACTGGAGCATAAACTTTGACCACATAATTGACAAGCAAATTATTTGATGGCGAAACAGTACTTACATAAAGTCTGAGTATGCGATTGGCAGTAGTTAACCATCTTGAATGCGCCATTTTTCCAGGTTGGCGGCTCGCTAACTCAGGGGAACAAGAACCAGTCGTCACAGCATGACACATTTCATACAGATACTTTTGATCCGTACTTAGTTCCTTCACAATGTCATCAGGTAATTCGAGCAAATTGCCAGCCACTGCACAAAAAGACACTAGTGGTTTACTTTCACAAACATTTAGCTGTTTTCCAATAGGTCCTGAGTATTCTTTCGGCCCAGATGTGCTACCATCTAGAGACATAAACAAATGGCGAAGCGGTAATTCATTTGTGTGAAGCATACAAACACACCATTGTAACGGTCTCTTCAAATAGTCTTCCAGGTATTTAATGACACCTCCTTTCCAACCTGTATTTGTAGGAGTGCCATCGCAACCCACACAACTTACTTCTTCTAAGTTCCATCCTTGATTTTCTAACAATTCTATAATAGAAGTGACAATCCCTTTCGCAGTACCTCGACTCGGCGTCGTATGTCCCAAGTAAATAGATCCCGGCTCTGTAAGAACTGAAATGTGTTCTTCTAAGACTTCTTTTCAGTGGTACCGGCTGTCTATTTTATTGATCTTGAGAGTTTTATCTTTTCGCCCATCGAAGTAGATACTCTTTATAATAATTTTATCGATGACGATTTGCTGGCTTGGGTACGTGACTTTGAAACAGCTCTGTGAATCTTATTTTTATCAATCACAAGGTTTAGATCTTCGGAAGATACCATTCCTACGCCAACTAAGACTGCTGAAGCGACTGCAGCTGCCGAACGCGTTGATAGTCCGTATCGATCACATACCTTAGCTACTGTTGGCAGCGTCAGAGTGTTCCGACTAAATGAATTAGATGGAGACTCCTTTAAGTCACTTTTAGTAGAAGGTTCTATTGAAAGCGACTGTGAACGAGGCGGCAACACGCGTACCGGTACAGTATCGGTTTGTGAAGTACTCGGAAAACATGCTTGCTCTGTCCGCTTCAAATTTTCTTGTCTTTGATGTTTCTTTAAAAGCCTTGCAGTTTCTTTTGCGTCTACGCCGCTTATTGCCATTTTCCTATCATTTCTTTGGTCCAGTAAAAAATCTCTTTCAGAAATGGGAACTTTCTTGGGTTTAGTGCAGGAACAATTTTCAAACGAAGTGCACTTACAAGCAGCGATGTCAAAAAGCTTATTTGACGATTCCAAAAAGCACTTAACTTTGTTGTCATAGCTATCGTTTCTCTTACTTTTTGGATATCTTATTAGTGATAAATATTTGTTAAAATATGCGGTTAGCAGTTGAGTAACCCGTACGTTAGAAACGATGGGAATTGAAGCTTTGGTCCAAATTGTGTTAAGTTTTCCAGAAACTATTGAAAAGACTTCTGTGTTCGATGGATCTTTTCCGTTTTTCTGTAGTTTTAATTCACTTTTAGTAAATAAAATAACGTCTTTTATAACAGGTAATTGGCGATCGTCAAGTTCTTTATAAGGTCCAAATATAGTACAAGTAGTCTCACTTCGCCTTGAACACATTTTTATGATTAAGTAACGCAAATTACGTTTTTCTTTCAAAGAAGAATAGAACAACTCCTTACAAGAGTGAAATCGAAATAGAAATGAGACGAACTGTCTTGTTGTAGAAGTAGCGCACGTACGAAAATCAAGTCAAAACATGAATTTTGTAGGAATTTTGCAAGTCCGATCCAAACCGATTGATCGCTAAAACAACCTGTCGATACTTGCAAATCATAGCCGAGGCTTTTCTTATTGATAAAATTACAAGACAAAACAGGATTGATTCATAAAACATAGAATATACGACATTGACTACAAGGTTGTTTTTGCTAATTTTCAGTAAATAAAAATGCTGGTAGAGCCCTAAGGATATTTTTAAATATTTTTTGAATTATTTTTACGCTAATCTACGTCTAACAGCGCAACTTTTGAGAGGTCTTAAGTAGCTAAAATAAGAATAAAAAAATTTCGGGACACCCTAGTGAACAGCGGTGTCATACTCAATGTAATCCACACACACACTATAAACAATTGGAGAAAAATATGCAGAAATTATGTTTATTTACATCACGTATCTTGTGGAGCTGTAATCTATTACTAGAGATGTTTTTGTTGTAATACTATTCTTAGAAGTAGTAACTAATAACATTTTTCAAGAAAGTATTAGGTACAGCACATAGTATTCATTTGCATGTAATCAAATAATGTGATGTACCAAAGACAAAGAGTTTTACTCCTGTCTGTATTTAGGGGATGCCATCACGATCATGTGTATAGTGTTGGACCTGACGAGAGCCTATTTAAGGAGCGAAACGTTTTGCCGCGAAACTGACAGATGTCACAGTTGATTAATTATATTATCAATGCTGTCATCAGTTTCTTAGTTTTTCGCACCTTTCGTTTTTTTATTTATTGATCAATTTTTTTCTGTAGTAGAGCTTATGTTACCTATTTTTTTCCAAACTAATGCTCATCACACGTTTATTGTCTAGGGTCCATTGAAAGATATCAGTTTTTATTAACTTAATAAATGTGATGAATATCAGTGAAATAATCAAATCAAGCTAATGACGTAATACACATGCGAATGACTTCCAACAATAAATAAATAATAAGTAATAATTTGTATAATAGATTGGCACAACTGTTTTCCATTTTGGCGCTGAGTTTGAGATGCATCTGTTATTGAAGCGAAGTTCCTTATCGCGCGTGGTGACGGAAAAGAATTCTCACGAAAAGTTGTAACGACACTTTTTATGTCAGTCATTCAGCGCCATCTATCGAATAGATAGGAAATCATTACTTTTCATCTCAGTATTTATTTTGAATTCTCACTTGTCAGTTATTCAGCGCCATCTATCGAATAGATAGAAAATCATTTCTCAAGGAGATTTTACCAATGTATAAATTGTTTTAATTAGAAACCAACTGAAAAATATGGAGGTAATAGCCGCATTCATAGATGGCGTTGTAATTAAAATCGTGTCAAGTCAGTTTTACTCGATCGTCACAACTTCGTTTCTATCGGGTGTCCCACGACACCACACGGCTTTTTTTATATTAATAACAGTGCTGTTTTCAGTTATATCTAGTGTGTATTGCGAATTACAAAATAGACAAAAACATCGAACAAATAATTTGTCTTAAATTTTGCATCGCCAATGGAATTTCGTGTTCGGAGTCACTGAAAATGTTACAGAAGGCTTACGTATAAGTATAAGGTGTATCCACTAAAAACCACCCCGACGGCCGGACTCAGGCGCCTTACTCCGAGGAGGACCCGGACCATGTTATTTCAGGTCCCCCCCAGATTGACGCCGCGCCCAGTAAAGCCCTATCCCGGGGAAGCTGCGCGCTTCCCCCGCCTATCGGCCCAATCGTTATAAAATTTTGCGACCCGATTGCATTTTCGGCGACCAGGCTGCCATCCTATCGCCTACCGCAGCAGTTAAAGTGCCACCAGAGGTCCCCTACCCCTGGCAGCCTGCGGCCCCGTCAACGGCTGATATCGCCGCCGACGTCCTCTACGCTCTTGATCGGCCCTCTCCCGATCTCGTTCAGCGGTCTCTTTCTGAAGCATTACAGCTTCACAGAAAGAGGACTTCGCGTTTCGACGCCCACGCGGGGCAGTCTTCCAGCGTGTGCTGGGCGGAGTCCCAGTGCGCAG